TAAAAGTTTTATGAAGATTACAGTATAAACCCCCATACCCACCCCAAAACCCCACCCTCACCCTCCCCCACTTCCCAGAGCTGAACACAGGGTTACAAATCAAAATCTATCTAGCATTAACCAACTATGAAAATAACCAAATCCATAATGCGCTTTAACTCCCCTTTAACACAAATTTAAACAAATTAAAATTAAACACAATAATAAACATATTCATAACCTAAATATTAAACAATACAATACTAATATTAAAAATAATAATAATATCATATAATTAAAACTAACAAAAATTCCATTAAAATAAACTATTAATAATAACAATACTCTAGAGTTTACTCATAACCCAAATGAATTAATCTCATTTTAAGATACTAAAAACACACCTATTCTGTAATACTCTTAGCAATAGCAATAGCACTTAGACCTCATAGTGCTTTACAGCCCTCTTAGCAACATGTGTTAATATGTGGTATTCTAACTCTTATTCCAACATTCTTATAAATAATTTTTTATCTCAACAATACTCTTTATTTTTGAAAAAAAAAATACCAATATGCTTGAAAGAACACATTTCAGTGATGATAACAACTCAGGAGCTTTAGATGCTGTAATGCATCTGAACCAATCTGTGAAATCAAAATACGTTTTAGTAAAGAATTAGCCATTAATATTTTATTAAAATGCAAGTTTCAAACTGGGAGTAATCCAAAATGAATATTTATCATATGAATAAAAATCTAAATTATATTTTGATCCTGATCTTCCAAATACGCCATGCAGCTTAATAATAAATATACAGAAAATTATCCCACCATCACCATTATTACATGGTAAGATTAATTTAAAGGAAATCTAGGGGGCTTGCCCTTTTTTGCATTAGAAGCTTTGAACCTATTAATCTGTTCGAAATCCTTAAAAGAAACTATTCTGGCTATTATAACAATCCTGAAATAATAATCCATTTTTACAATGTTTATCCTTATATTATCCGTATATTCATTACAATTTTAATGCTTTACCTCAATATTAATCTGAGATTTAAAAAAAAGTTTTAAATATTTCTTCTACAGATAAAGTTGAATTATCCCAAGATATATAAAAGAATTTAAATATTAAGTGAAGCACCATTTTTTACATTTCTTTTCCTATACTGTATTTGCCCCAAAAGCAGTTTGATGTAATGGTTAAGGTATCAGGCTAGAAACCAGGAGACCATGAGTTTTAGTCCTGCCTTAGGTCTGAAGCCAATTTTTTAATCTTGGGCCAGTCATTCTCTTTCGTCCCAGGAAAGATGCAATGGCAAACCATTTCTGAAAACTTGCTGAGAAAACTGCAAGGACTCCAGGCAGTCACCAGGAATCAGCACTAATTGGAAGGAACCCTCACCCATAATTTTTCATTTTCATATATCATATGAACATATATATACTGTATATAACATATATATTGATTCATTATATATGAAAGCATGTATGTAGGATGCCAGAAACCCAATAATTTGCCAAAATGTTGTACCAATCAATAGGTTTTAAATGTTGATTTTAATAAAAAAGAAATATAATATCAGCATACCTTTATACATTATGTAAATGGGAACCTGTCCATGGTTTCGTCTGGAGAACCTTCCTCGTGTCAGCAGAGGGCAGCAAGCACAAACCATCTAACCCTGATATGAAAAGGAGGAAAGAAGAGTAAATGAAAGATGTTGATTTAATTATCCCAAGATATGTAAAAGAATTCAAATGTCAATTTGAAGAGTGAATGAAAGATGCTGATTTATCAGCCATCTTTTCTGTGTTGGGAAATTTTGCATAGGGATATCAATAGTCCAAATTATGCTTAATAGAACCCGTCTTCATTGACTATTACAGAGAATCTATCTGACCTGACCTCCTACCAAATTAGACAAACCGAAGGTGATTGTGGCTTCTCTTCCTCTTTCCCATTGTATGTTCTCTCAACATAATTGAATTCCACTACATGTTACTATATTTGAGACTGAGGATTTGTCCATTTATCTATTTTGAGTAGCAGTAAGATCACTTCTACCCAAGGCTCCCAGGCTGTTCCAAAAGAAGCTCTAGAACAGGCACACTGGCTGAAGAATTCTGGGAGTTGAAGTCCATAAAAGGACCAAGTTTGAAGACCCCTGCTTTGGGACTTGGTGTTCACACAACACAACATATTGGAGAATTGGTTGATTTACTTCCAACTCAGCTGCAGTGTAACTCACAGTATAGCTAGTTTTCTTCATATAACGGTACAAAAACTACAGTACAAAAACTACTGTGCTGGCTGAGGAATTCTGGGAGTTGAAGTCCACAAGTCATAAAGACCATGTTTGAAGACCCCTATTATATAAGATCCCCCTTGGGAATGAAATCTTGTGTCCCTTGCATGGGTTTTAGGTCATGCAAGGAAAATATCACAGAAATAATGAGCAAGAATAAAATTCACAAGAGAAGGAGATATCTGGAGGAGACTTCTTTAATTGACTGAATTGTTCTCTTCAGTGCAAGGGAGCTGTGTACAAAGTGACAGACTATTGGGCTTTTATTTATCTTTCCTATTCTGTATAGAGCAGGCATGTCAAACTCGCGACGTCACGTGATGTCGCGCAACATATCTGAGCTTTTTCGCCATTGCTGGCAATGGGGTGGGCGCGGCTCCGGTATGATGAAACCGGCCGCGGGCCGGCAGTTTGACACACCTGGTATAGAGTGAAGATAAGCAGATGTTACTGTTGCAGAACCTGCACTAGTTTTGAACAGAACAGGAATTATTACTCCTTTTTCTCAGCATTTCAAATACACAGAAGTGAAAAAAATCTCAAAATGCTTTCAAATTTGAAGCCAATTTTCCTTAATCTGATAGTCTCCAAATGTTTTGGACTTTATGTCCTATCATTCCAAACCAGCATGGCCTTTGGCTGAAGTTCAACACATCTTGTGAGCGTTGGGCCAGAGAAACTTCAACCATGCAGATCAGTGTTTCTCAGCCTTGGCTGCTTTAAAATGGGTGGACTTCAACTCCCAGAATTCCCCAGCTAGCATGTTGGGAGTTGAAATCCACCCATCTTCAAGTTGCTGTGGTTGAGAAACAGTGTCATAAGGCAATGTGAGAACAGTTAGTCCTTTACTCCGAGTACACCTATTGGGAGCTCAAACTTCCCTTTTTCTCAAATGCCTTTCCATTGTCATAAGGAGGTATATGGTCTCATGATGCACAGCAGCTTCAACCACAGAGGGATCCCTGATATGCCAAAGTGAGCTATGACATCCTCCTGAGCTTTCTTCCTTTCCCCCACACCCGACAAGCAGATTGGCTTTGCTCACATAACACACTTAAGGATACAAATAAAGATGTAACACAGTGGTTCTCAACCTTTTTAATGCCGCGACCCCAACCGGTCGTAAGTCGAGGACTAAACCGGTTGTAAGTCGAGGACTAAACCGGTCGTAAGTCAAGGACTAAACCGGTCGTAAGTCGAGGACTACCCAACTGGTCGTAAGTCGAGGACTTTCCCTGCCCGGGAGCGCCGTGCATGCGTGGTTCCGCCCCCTGCGCCGGCCAAGGCGTAGCTGGCAAGCGGCAGAGACGGAGCAGGCCGACCACCAGCTGGCCCAGCCCAAGGGAGGTAAGGCACCCGCCGGAAAAGGGGGAAAAATGGCGGACAAAAAAAATGGCAGACAGCCTTGCTTGGCGACCCCCATGAAATGGTCGATCGACCCCAAATGGGGTCCCGACCCACAGGTTGAGAACCACTGATGTAACATGTGCATTGGTACAATATGCTGACCTTGATTGGTGAGATGCATTGTTTGTTGGTAGTTAAAGGGACCCCAGCACATTTGATTACTTTATGCACTGTTTTTCAACAGCAACTACTTTAAGATATGTGGACTTCAACTCCCAGAATTCCCCAGCCATTCTGGGAATTGACGTCCACACATCTTAAAGTTGCTGAGGTTGAGAAATGCTGACTTTGTGGCTCAGCCTATTGTGCAAAGTACTTTTGGAGATTCTGTCATCCAGGTCATGGTTGTCCCAAAGATGCTTTTTCAAAAGGCAACTGGATTTTCTTTGTTTTTTCCTTGAAGACGCTTCACTTCTCAACCAAGAAGCTTCTGAAGGAGTTTCTTGGATGAGAAGCGAAAAATCTTTAAGGAAAAACAGAAACAGCCCAGTTGCCTTTTGAAAAAAAAAACACCTTTGGGACCAGAAAACGGAAGTGAATTCAGCAAGCAGATTAAACGTGCCATGTGAATCGACCACCTGCTTGCCTTTTTCTCTATCCCTCTCCCCGACAGCCCCCCGCCCCGTTCTTGGCCTTCCTTGCTCACCCCTGTCAGTCAGAGGACATTTGTTAGCAATTAGAGGTGGGTGGGAGGGACAGCGCATATTTCGGCAGGGCTCCAAAGCCTCCTCGCCTCGCACTCCTTTCCCGGCCCGCCCACCCTAGATTTGGGGGCAGCGTCTAGGGGGGCGAGGGGGGAAGAGAGAGAGAGAGAGAGAGAGAGAGAGAACTTGAGGAGGAGGCAGCTGGCACGTAGAGAAGCCCCTCGTCCTGTTGGGGAAATTTGAAGGATGTTTGTCTAGGCTCCGGCCCAAGGAGCAGAGCGAGAGAAGGAGGGAGCGTGGCGGAAAACATGCTGCCGGTGTGCTAAACGGCGGTCAGGGAAGCAAGGGATGCTCGTGAAGAGACGGCACGCCGCCGCCGCCGCCGAGCACTGAAGGGCGGGCACCTCGCGCCGCCTTGCCATCCCCATCCCCAGCCCAGAAAGCAGCAAGTTTGAACGGCGGGTTCCTTGGATTTTCGGCGGCGGCGTAGCGTCCCAGCCATCCAAGGACCGCAGCCCTTGTTTCGGATGAGAGTCCCCCGGCTGCCTCCTTTCGGCCCCTAGGCTAGGGCCTACTCCCATGAGGTCGAAGCGTCAGCCTCTCGCTGTTTGTTTTCCCAGGCTCAGCTCGGACCGAGCGGGACTGCCGACGGGAGGAGAATGAAAGGTGAGTTTCGGACTTAGCAGGGCGAGAGGAACAAGGCAGCTGCCCCGTCAAATGGCTCTGCCTCACCCCGGTCCTCTAGCCTAGAAAACACTCCCAGTCGCCCCCTGGGGTTGCTGTAGGTCAGGCAGAGGAGGGAAAATGGGTTGTTGTCTTGGGAATTACTGTGGCTACCTTCCCACCTAACTTTTAACCAGACCGGATTTTAAGTCATGTAGAAACTTTGCAGATGCTTTGGCACAATATATTGAGCATGTTGAAGAATAACCTTGATTAGGCTTCTGTGCTTAATATGCAGTCAGTTTCGTTTGGTTAGTGACTGCTCTAACATACTGTGTAAATTCAGAAAATGAGTTACTTCTGGATTCAGATTAAACTGTCGTGTTAATAGCGAAGACTAAGGAAGCAAGATAGGACCACAAGTATCCCGAACAGTGGCCTATTGACAATCGGAGACAACCAGGGATATTTCTTACCACACTGTTCCACCTATTCATCAGATTCAAGATTGGTTATAATGTTAAAACATCAAAACATCCTATTACAAAAGATACCGTGAAAAATACAAGAGTTGTTGTTCTCCAAGTGAAAGTCTTCATCTTGAATGCTTTATGGAAGAGGAATGTTTCAGTCAATTTCTTGAAGGATAAAAGGATTGGCGTTAATCTGCCCTCACGGTGCGAGCTGTTCTGCAGTGTGGGGACTGTCACTGAAAAAGTCACTCCCCAGGTCCCAACCTAGTTGAGCTTTTGAGGGGTGAATACCTGCAACAGCCTTTCCTGGCTAGAACAGTGTAGGATGAGCATATTCTACCTGGTGAATAACAACAGCATCCAGCATCTTGAATTGAGCCCAGATGCCTACTGTCAATTACTGCAGCAGCCACAAAATAAGCTGGCACTGATCTGCAAGAAGGCAATGGCTGTATTCTGTTTCAGCTGTAGCTTCCAATTTATCTTCAATGGTAGTCCCCGCCTAGAGAAAATTAGGATAATCTGATAATGGCATGTGTCTTTGTTTTCCTCTCCTTGTCCAGGAGAGGACACAATGATTAAACCAGCTGAAGCTCGTCAAAAACTCTTCTGGCAGTTACCCTTACCTGCTACTCTAGCAGAAATACCTGACCTTTTAGAGAAGCGTGACCTCATCCAAAGCAATAAATGGGTCATCAGTATATTGATGCTCACCAGACTCCAGAATAATGAATGATCTCTCCCAAAAGTTTCATGGAGGTGCTAATAGTACTAGAGGGTCAAACTCTGAGCTTCCCTATACTGATGTACCCGAAGAAGCTATGTTTCCTTCCTTACCAACACTAGTTGGAATTACTTCTTATAATGAGCAGAAGCACTTGAAAACTAGATACCTTATGACACGGGTGTCAAATTTGCCACATCATGTGACGTGTTGCGACATATCGTGACTCTTTTTGCATTGCCGGCAATGGGGTAGGGGCAGCTTTGGTATGATGAAACCGGCCCGCGGGCTGGCAGTTTGACACCCCTGCCTTATGAGAATTTGTGTTTGTTTGTAATACATGGTGCCTCACAATTTTATTTACAATTTTCACATCCTTTGCTATAGGACAGAGAAAATTAATTAATATTAAGCCAGTGGACATATTGCCTAGTGATGCGAGTTGTCAAATATCCGAAAAGCATGGCAGAGGGAGTAGGTGGGGGGGAGGACTGCCGAGGGATGCAATTGAATGTTCTCCTTAACCTCAACTGAAATGAAAATATGTACGATCACATAAAGTAGTAATAGCCCTGCCAGATTTGACCACAATCCTTGTAACCCAGTATTTTTTTCCAACATTGGCAACTCATATCTCCCACAAAGAACAGTTTTCATATATCATAGAGGCAACAGCCCTCCCTTGTGGCTGGTACTCGGTCTTTCAAAACAGACGTCTTGTGTGGAGGATCGGTATAGCTACCATCACAATAGGATTATTTCACCATTTCCCCTTTGGCTTGTATAGGATTATATCCCACATGAAAATCTCTTGACCATCTTCAGTGTGTCACTCTGCTGCCTATGCCCAGCACCCTTTAAGGTACTCTAAAGTGCTGTCAGATCCCTTTCTGTTGTCATTTAAAGGTACAGGTAAAGGTTTTCCCTGTCAGTCGTGTCTTGACTCTAAGGTAGGATGCTCATCTCCATTGCTTGGCTGAGGGAGCCAGCGTTGTCCGAAGACAGAAGGCTATAAATGCCCCAATTTTATTTTATTTTGATCATTCTCCTTACCATTTCCTATGCCTCTTCCAGTTTCTCTGAATCTTTTAAAAATCTGGTGCACAGGAACAATTGCTATATGGTGAATGCGGAAGAGGAAATCTGAGAAAATGTTTAATAAAAGGGAAACCAAGGGGGGGAAATTAGTGGCTGGCATGAATGGGTGTGGGATTACCCAAAGTCCTAACACATCCGCTTGAAGAGGCCAGTTAAAACCATAGCAATTTTTTTGCCTCAGGGCCTCAGGATGTTCCCTCCTCCACCCGTTTTCCTGGTCCCATTTCAGAGATCAAAAGTACAGTTCAGATTTCAAACTTCCACAAAAACTGATTAAAGGGTTCCATTCCCCCTCCAGTTGGCTAAATGATTCATTTAATACCAATGTTCATAATGGTGCAATTAAAATGAGAAAGCTGATGTTTCCAACTCTTCCTGTTTTGAAAGTCCTGGACTGTTGCAAATATCACAAGTTTTTTTTTTTTGAACTGGTTGAATTCATGTACTATCTTGTTTTCCTGAAACTATCCCTCACCTAAGACCATTTTTCCCAGCCTGGTCATGCTAGCTGGAAATTATGAGAGGTGATGATCCACACATTTGGAAGGTATCATCATCATTAAAGGAAGGTTGATAAATCAAATTGCAGCCTCTGGGTGCTAGTTCTTTCAGAAGGCAGTTGCTCTTTTCTCTTTGTCTGTCAGGCACAAGGAACCAGAATGACACCACAAATTTATCAAAGTTACTTCTTTATTGCTGCATGCCTATTTACAAGAAACTTGCCAAATTAACTGCATTCTCTTAGGAACAGCCAGATAACAGTTTCAGGGTTACTGGTGGAGATAAGATCTGTGTTTCTTCCTGCTCTGCAAGGACTCTAAGCTCATCCCTTCGTCACACTTTCCACCACTCTAGCTGGAGATCCCACCATATTAGTCTTTGCCTCTCATGCAGTCTGGAAAAGAAAACTCCATCCTTATTCCTTTCTCCTCAGCTTTTAATATTTCTCAATGATGGCCTTGATGGCTTGGTTTTTGTTTTATGTACAGAGCATTTGGCTGGAGAAAGCCTTCCCCACCTCCATCTTTGATTGACAGATTATACTGAACTTGACTTTCTTACCAGAATGGTTTTGCTTTCTAGATATTTGGCTAAATGACCTATGCCAGTGGTGGCGAACCTATGGCACGGGTGCCAGAGGTGGCACTTGGAGCCCTCTCTGTGGGCACACACACCGTCTCCCCAGCCCCGCCTCTTCCCACGGCCCCCTCCTCACCAGCAGCCCCCCTGGAGGAGAGTCGCCCCTGGGCACGGCCCACACGAAGCAGCACAGCCAAGGACATGGTAGCCGACAGCGGTAACAAGACTCCACCCTTGCGCCCCGTTGCACGCAGATGATGCTGTGGGGCATGGGCGGAGGGCGTGGCCGCCATGATGCTGCTGGGCTGCCTGGGTGATCTGTGGCAGGCCGTGGAGGTGGTGGGTGGCCCAGTGGGCAGGGCGGAGCGGGGACGGGGGGCAGTTTTTGGGTACGCGGTCTCTAAAAGGTTCGCCATCACTGACCTATGCTGATGGCAATAGTGATCAATATTTGGGGCAGGAAGAATGAGTTTATTATTTATTTATTAAACAATTTTATATGGCTGTCTAATTAATGCATAGTTGATTCCATGCAACTTACAACATTTAAAAATGCACCACATAAAAATCCACCACAATCAAATCAACCACTTGATGGCTCCATCTTCATTTGTGGTCCCCAGGCCCTCTGACAAAACCACGTTTTAGGGCCTTTTGGAAAAGCAACAAAATAGATGCCTTAGCAGGAATGAGGATCCAAGAAGAAGGAGCCATCTCTGAGAAGGCCCTTTTTCGTGGTCCCACCAGATGTATATCCCTAATCGATGGGATCCAAAGCATATCCTGCCATCCTGTCCTGGTAGGCCAAGATGTAATAATGGTTGATTTATTAAGAATCATTTTGTTGAAGGAAAAGTTGACCCCTTCTTTGTAATCTGGATTGAGGCAGCTCTGAAAATTCTTGCTATAATTTAATTAAGGCTAGTAATTAAGAAAAGCAGATTTACATCTTCCCTCAGTCATGGAGTTACTGGATGATTTGGGGCCAGTCACACTCTCTGATTCAACCCCACATGTTACAGGTGTTGTAAATGTAGAGGAATTTCCCACATATGCTGTTCTGGGTTCTTGCAATAAATAATGAATATAACTCTACCTGGCATCTGAGCCTCAGTGATAATGAAAGCTTTTGAAGCCTGGGAGAAAGCACATGAAATACCCCCAGAGTGCAATGAATAGCACTTTTGCTTGGGCTGTACACTTTGCAAAACATTGCAGAGTAGACTCTGCATTTAACTCCACTTTCCTTTCATGCCCATGTTGCACGATCCATCTTTCTGGATGATAATAATATTGCAAGAGACCACTCTGTGTTTAAGGTGAGCAGATGTTTTTAAAGTGCCAAAAGAAAGGAGTTGGCTTCTTTAGAAATGGGATGATTGCTAGTTTTAGCCTTCAGGATTGATGAATGGATAGCACAAACTTTTATTTTCATTTTTAAAAAACAGGGCTCAAGTAATCACAGAAATCCTGCTAGCAAGCTGAATTTCCCAGTATGCAAGAAGGGGTCAATTTAATATTTGCTGAGGTGCTAGAGTAGCTGCTTCTTTGAAGTTCTTTGAAGTTGCTACTGTAGCTTTTCTCAACCTGTCTCCTAAATTTCCCAACTTAGCTGGGGATTGTTGGCATTCTGGTCCAAGAGACCTGAGCTGGGATAGTCTGCTCTAAATTCTAGCTTAATTAACAGGAATGATTCCATTTCTGCAAAAGACTAGAAGAGAATTCCCTAAAAATGATTAAATTTATAACTATATAGTGGATAGCTGACAAGCTCTTCCACTATAGAGAATAATTGCAAAAAAAAGTCCTACCTGATTCCCATTCAATTCAATCAGATCTACATAGCAGTATATCCCATCAATTCCATTGCCTACTCTTAGAATGTCCATGTAATGCTCTATCAGGAATCTATTCAGCATCGTATTTTTAAAAGGTTTGCACTGCAGTCCTAGGTTTTTACCAGGATTCAGACTATTTTATGCTATTTGTTCTTCCATTAACATGGAACATGGTCCAATAGTACATTTGCCTTTAAAGAAAACACACAAATGCAATCATAAATAAAGCTTTCAGCAGCAGACTATTTTTATGTAATTCTCAAAGTTGGCATGCTGCCCAGTGACAATTTTCTGTTGACATAAGGGAGTAATTCTCAAAACAGAGAACTGCTTGCATGCATGAGAAAATGAAATAAATATAGGAAGGCCTAGTCTACTTGAAAGTATCCTTCCACTGCTTTTCTCAAGTTGTCTGATTGTGGAGCCAGAGTAAGCCAAAGATTTGATCTCCAAAAGAAGGTCACTTCAAGACACGATGCTCCTTACTCTGAAGTATATCTCTGCTACCCTGAAGAATTTTTTGGAGTAGCAGTCTGGGATGAAGAGTGTATGATAAACCAGTAGAGATCAGAAATTTAAATTGATTTTTGAGATTTCTTCCATGATTATCTTCTTCAAATATGTTGTGATGTAACACTATGTCTAAGAAACTAAAAAAACCAAGGGCCAGGTCTGACCTGACTATTGCCTTCAATTCAGCATAAATCTTGCTTTTAGCATGAATTATTTAGAGCAGTGGTTCTCAACCTTTTTAATGCCGCGACCCCCAACCGGTCGTAAGTCGAGGACTAAACCGGTCGTAAGTCGAGGACTACCAAAACGGTCGTAAGTCAAGGACTTTCCCTGCCCGGGAGCGCCACGCATGCGTGGTTCCGCCCCCTGCGCCGGCCGAGGCGTAGCTGGCAAGCGGCAGAGACGGAGCAGGCCGACCACCAGCTGGCCCAGCCCAAGGGAGGTA